GCTTCAAACACATACTAGAAAGCTTCATTGTTACTACAGGTAAAACGATTCCCAGTGAAACGATCCCTAGGGGTTTGGGCTTGAAATTCGAGCTTACCTTCCGCCATGCAAGCAACAGCTCTTTAGCCATGGCGGATTCCAAAGTGAGAACACACCAATTTGACAAGAAGAAAGAGAAGAGGAAGCAGACAGATAGAGAAGAAGAGGAAAAGGCACAGAAGACACCAGAGCGTAGAAGCATCGAATTTCAAGCGCCAGATGCAGAGATGACAGAAAAGACGGAAGACCATACACACAGGCAGATCTCCACCAAGAGAATCTGGAGCAAGAGAGGGCATGCAACCTCAGCGGCACTATACCAAATTGCAGCCACACCCCAGATGGAGGCAACAGACTCCAAGGCGGAGAGAATATCGAAGAGAGACGTAGACAAAGAAACGCAAGAGTTGCTAAAGCAAACGCAGGAACTTAGTTTACAGATGAAGCAACAATTGGAGCAACTCCAGTCAGCCGGCGCCAGCTCTGCAGACCAGATGAGCAGCAAACAGGAAGCGTTACAACAACAAGTCGAAAGTTTGTTGGACATTGCGCAAAAACACGACGACTAGATTGATGACCTGAGAGGAATGTCAGATTTCACACATGAAGTACTCCTAGAAAGAGAATGCAAGGAAAGCAGCCTCAAGATGGTAATCAAAGGGTGGCCGAAGGAGGCCACGTACGACAGAGTCCGTGTGACGGATTGGCTACTACAAAGAGCAAACTTGGAACACCAGACCCAACAAGAACACGGATACTACACAGCAGCACGCCGGTTCACACTCTCGCCGGTGACCATCCTCAAATTCCAGGACTACGATGCACAGCAAGCATTTGAGAAATTTGCTTACAGCAACTTCTCAGGCAAGCACCCCTTGCACTATTGGGACGGCTACGGAAACCGTCTCCAACATTGGAAGGGAGGTTGGCGCAAACTTGTCATCACAAATTACTTGGGAAAAGTCGATTTGACCATCAACATGGCTCTCACAACTGCCTTACACATATTGACCAGCCAGCCAGACACACCATATGCTGGAACAAGTCACCTGTCACACCGACCAACAGACAAGCAATTATACGACCTACAGGCAAAGAAAGTCATCGCAAAAGTTACATATGACAAAGACAGAGGAGTCCTGGCTCTGATAGCCCAGGGCGAACTTATGGACACGCTGCGCAACTACTGGCATGAAACTTGGAAAGAAGTCCACAAAGACCATCCTCGCTACCCATCCTACAACCGCTACCCGCTACCCGTATGCAGTGACCTTTGCGGCAGCACGGCTGGAAGATGAGAAGCCAGGGCATCCAGAGGAGTGACTCTATGAAGAACAGCGCCGCGAGCAAAAAACAAGGCGGCAACACATGAGGCCACAAAGCATGAGACAACAAAAATGGAGGCAACAACACTTGAGTGAAAACCAGAGGCAGCAAGCGTTGAGGAAACCAAATACAAGGCAACGACGCAGGGAACAACAAAGCATGAGGCAACACACCCTTGGAAGACAGGGAACCAGGCAACAAAGCAACAAGCAACAAGACTTCAGGCAACAAACACCAAACGGCGTGGGCCGTAACAAGTTGAACAGGCAAAGCGGGAGACATAAATGGACGTACAAAAAGAACCCCCCGAACCTCCGACAGCAAAAGTCAGACAAGGCCAAGAATACACTGAGACTGAGGCCTTCCAGTAGGCACCCCGGGACACTGCCCGTAGGGCTGACAACCTCTCCCTGGAGCAAAGTCCGCAGCCAAGAAATGTTCAATCATGGTTTGCTTTACTATCATCGAAAGAACTTACCAGCCACCAAAAGAAACGCTGTCTTAGGAGGAGATACTGGCGATACTTTAAGCGGACAAAGCTCCAGGCTCGAGCCAAGCAGGTAGCCAAGCAAATCCTGCGGAAGTCGAATCTCTCAAAGAGAGATCTGATATCCAAAGCAGTACAACGAAAAATCAAACATAAATGTAAACACTGGTTTAGGACAATCAAGCGCGCAATGAAACATGAGTTTAAATTAGCATTCGCAACCTTGCATGCTAGATCTACAAACCCCTAGTTCTCTGGCATCTGGACAAAGTCAGCTAAAGAGAATAGACTCTTACCATATCAGCATATCAAGGTTGCGACGCTGAACGTTCGTGGATTAAATCATATTACGAAACGGGAAGTGATATCGAATATTATGAAGCAGGAAAAATATGAGATCCTTTTACTTTCAGAAACTAATATAAAAGCAAATGTGGTGGAAAATTGGGATAGAGGCACAGCCTTCTTTAGTACAAGTGTCGCTGCAGTAACAAAAGAAAGGGAAGAGAAAAAAAGGGAAAGAGATTGCCTCACGGGAGCTCGTAATCCTAACGCGGCCTGCAATTACCGTTCAGAGCCGGACTTTGAAAACGCAGGGGTTGGTATTATAATTAAAGACAGTCTCTTAAATTCAGTCAAGAATGTAAGGCAGATAAGTGGCCGTATAATGTCTTTAACATTTTCTTCCACACGGTTTTGATGTAACTATGATTTCTGTATACGCACCTCACAGTAATTACGAGACTGAAATCAAGGAGCGATTTTGCGATGACCTCTCTGATGAAATAGGAGCTTGCAAAGGGCGATACTTCATTGGCGGAGACTTCAACGCCCGCATTCACTTTGTAAGAGAAACGGATACAGATGTTTGTGGACCATATATTCTCGGAAGGGGTATGGAATACTTAAACACTATGAACGAAAAAACCAAGGAAAGTAGAGCATTGTTCCTCGGATTTTGCAAAATGCATCATCTGAGAATTTGAAACCCCGTGTTTTCCAAGCCGCCTGAAAAATTGATCACCTATCGGGAGAAAACCAATGGTTCTGACTTTGACCCACCTCTTGATGCTTATCGCTATGCGCAACTCGATTACTGGTTGACAGGTGAGGCTTGGAAGCGGAGTTGCGCAGATGTACAGAGCCGCAAAGACATTTCTTTTGACCCGGATCATTTGATACTTGAAGCCGGGCTAGAACTATTGCCTTGCCAGCGAGCGCGGGATGTTGCTAACGTTACCAAGTTTGACAAACCAGACTTCCAACAGTGGGAAAATTACAACCTTGAATTTAAGATGTTGGTTTCTCAATCCTCATTGTGTTATGATGATTTCCTTAGTAATATCCTGCGCGCTGCAAGTAAAACACTCAATCCTGTTCCAAAGCAGAAGAAGAACGTGATATTACTAGGAATACATGAGGATTAATTGAACAAAGAAATAACCTTAGAACACAAGCTGGCAAAGAACATGACGTTAAACAATTGAACCGCCATATTGCAAAATCTGCTCGCGACGATCGAAAATATCAGCTCGTTGAACAGTTTAACGAAAATCCAGAAGACAAAAACAAAAAAGGGTTATGGAAAGCAGTGAAAGACTTAAAGCGGACATTCACTCCGCAATTTGTGCAGATGAAAAATCAAAATGGGACATATGTGCGTGTAACGCAGCGAGCCCAAACAATAGCGGAATATCTGGAAGACGTTCATTGGAAGAACAATGTTGATGCTGGAACATGAAATCATAGGACCCAACAATGCGGATGAGACGCCCTTCACCTTGGAAGAATTATCTCAATCTCTTGAGTCGCGCAAAAACAATAAGCAACCTGGCCCAGATTATCTACAAATGGAGTTGTTGAAGTGGCTGGACCAAGATAATCGAAAAACATTGCTTAGTCTAATGAACATATGGTGGTGTAATAAGAGTGCCCCACATGATCTCTTCCGAGCTCGTGTGGTCCCTATCTTCAAGAAGGGCGAAACAGACAACGCCGCAAATTACTGACCCATCTCTTTATTGAGTAGTATTTCTAAGGTGTAAATGATCATGCTCAGGCAACGCATGCAACGAGCAGTTGAAAGCAATCTATGCAAAACACAGTATTGTTTTTGGCCCCAAAAATCTACGTCGCGTGCAATTTACATTATCAGACGAATACAAGACTACGCTGAAATGAAAGGTGCAAAGTTAAGTATGGCAATGCTAGATTGGGAAAAGCATTTGACAAAATACAGCGCGACAAGCTCATTTTGGCGCTTAACAGATTGTGATTCAGCAAGCACTATTGTGATGTAATTCCAAATTGCTACTCCAAACCCATATTTTTTGTTAAAGATGCTTTGGTATGTCTGATTACAAAAACCAAAGCTCAGGAATACGTCAGGGGTGCCCACTATCCCCTTATCTTTTCATACTTGTAATGTCTTGTATTGACCGCGATATTACGGCAAGTACGAGCTGAAGAGTGAGCAACGCAAGGCTTCCGGGATTAGACTTTGATATGGTGTATTATGCCGATGATACTACTATATTTTCCACGGACAACCGATCTCTCAATGAACTACTGCGCTTAACTGAAACCATATCAAGTAAGTATGGTCTTGAACTAAACAAGGACAAATGCGTTGCTATCCAGATGAACAATGAAGGCCAAGTACATCTTGATAACGGCGAACCGCTCCCAAAAAAAATATGAGGCGACTTACCTGGGAAATGAAATAAACCGAGATGTAAATATCAAACGCGAAGTGTTAAACAAAATGCAAGAAGTTCGAAAAAATGTGTTTAAAAATCGCGCCGTATTGGAAAGCATCAAATGCGAATCAGAAGTGGCAACTTATCATTTTTGATGCCGTTATCCGATCCAAGCTGCTCTATGGTCTTGAAACTGTTCATTTGACAAACGCTTTGTTGAAAAAGGTTGATGCTTTCCAATTACGTTGCCTGAGGAGAATCCTCAAGTTGGCGCCCACGTTTGTAGATAGATATAATACTAATATGGCCGTGATACAGAAAGCATCGTCTATTGCCTACCCAGATGGTCACGATTCTCGTTCAATTAAACTTTTCAGTTTTCACTACAACGAGAAGAGGGGCAAACTATTAGGTCATATAATAAGAGCGAATAATTCCGATCCTTTAAGGCAGATTTCATTGGAACCCCATTCTGCAAACCGAATACAGTATGGCAAAAAACGATGTGGCCGGCCCCGGCAAAATTGGCTGCAAAAAGTTATGTTTATGAAAACAAACTCAATTTTCATTCCTATGAAGAAGGACCTCAGGATGACAGCCGAATTTATCATGCAGCCTTACAGAGATCTTTCTGATTCACCCGCAGAATGCTTGGTTACGCCGACGCCGTGTTGTTTTGACAATAGGGTCGAAGCACGGTCTGGCAGCAAAAAAAAGGGTGAAATGATTCCTAAGGAAGCAGATACTAGAAAGCATTAGTAAGAAGCTGCAAACACATACTAGAAAGCTTCATTGTTGCTACAGATGAACCGATTCCCAGTGAAACGATTCCTAAGGCCAGTGAAATGATTCCTAAGGAAGCTTCTAGTTACTAGAAAGCATTAGTAAGAAGCTTCAAACACATACTAGAAAGCTTCATTGTTGCTACAGATGAAACGATTCCCAGTGAAACGATTCCTAAGGAAGCTTCTAGTTGATAGAAAACATAACTAAGAAGCTTCAAACACATACTAGAAAGCTTCTTTGTTGCTACAGATGGGAATCGTCCCTGAGGCCAGTGAAACGATTCCTAAGGAAGCTTCTAGATACTAGAAAGAATTCGTAAGAAGCTTCAAGCACATACTAGAAAGCTTCATTGTTGCTACAGATGAAACGACTCCAAGTGAAACGATTCCTATGGCCAGTGAAACGATTCCTAAGGAAGCTTCTAGGTACTAGAAAGCATTAGTAAGAAGCAAGCTTCATTCTTGCTACAGATGAACCGATTCCCAGTGAAACGTTTCCTAAGGCCAGTGAAACGATGCCTAAGGAAGCTTCTAGTTACTACAAAGCATTAGTGAGAAGCTTCAACACCATACTAGAAAGCTTCATTGTTGCTATAGATGAACCGACTCCCAGTGAAACGATTCCTACGCTTTCTAGTTTCTAGAATGCATTACTGGGAAGCCTCAAAACATACTAGAAAGCTTCATTGTTGCTACAGATGAACCGTTTCCCAGTGAAACGCTTCCTAAGGAAGCTTCTACTTACTAGAAAGCATTAGTAGAAGCTTCAAACACATACTAGAAAGCTTCATTGTTGCTACAGATGAACCGA